AATGCCGTATCTCCCTATTAGAGCATCTGCATAATCTCCCACTTCTTCCTGAAGTACAAAATTGTTCAGAACTTTCTTTGTCCGTTGACCGCTTGAATTTTTTACTATTAAATTCACGGAGAGCTCAGGGCCCGGCCGGTAATACCACCGCTTGTAATGTCAGTAATACGTTTTAATTGATGTAGACAGATCTTTGTTGAAATGAAAATGGATTTCTGCTTTAGTGAGTAAAGATTGGCTGAAGTATTTTATAATCATTGGATATTATGTATTTGTAATACTTTTCGCCTTTGAATATAATTGAGGCGTTATACATGTAAGACACATAACTCTGTAAAAGCCGGTAGCGTAAAATGATTATTTACGATTAAGTAATCATGGATTTGAATCCCACTTAGAAAAGTACAGAAGTAAACCCATTGGTAACAGAAGAATTTAGTCTAGCTGAAGGAGCAACCTTACTGAAACATGTTTAGCGACCCCAGTTAACCCAAGAATATTGATAGAATTTCTAAATTCTTCTGATAAAATCTTCATTAAAAAAAATCAAAACCCATTGAAGTAGACTAAAAATTCATTATCTGTTCAAAACACTTTTTTTTTAATTTGCTCAGTATAATAATTACTTACTTTTATAGCAGACAACTTATTGGTAACATATTATTGAATCAGAAAATACCTTGTGTTTCGTCACCTGCGACCAGTGACAATGCACCCCTTCTGTCACCCAACGCCCTATGTCGGGGTTTCCACATTAATTTGTAACTAATTCATCAGAAAACAAGTCGCCATTACGCATTAGTAGTTTGTTGAGGGTAAATGCACAAACATTATTATTTACAACGGTACGACCCGCTATACGACCTGACGACTTTTCTTTTACATGTTGCCTCTAATACAGGATGTAGTTTTGTTAAGACAATATCTACTTTCCCTTGATTTCAATCGGAAAATTTTGAATATGCTAAAAGTGCTATTTCAAAAAAAGTATTGAAGAAGAACACATAAGTTACGTAAAAATTATTTTAAATTACGGGTTTCTTAGTCAAGTAGTTGGTAAGCCCGACGGTTGAATTGTAGTCTTGGATTGTACGAGTATATACCTACGTACGTACGTAAGTACGGGTCAAACGACTATGTTTGATGTGTCCTCAAGGTTATTCTTGGGTATATTTATTATTTTTATTTGTCTTTTTAAATGTTATGTCAAAACAAATCTATATCCACCATACGCTGTGTCATTAACAATACGTAAGTAATACCACTTTCTACCGTCTTCAGAATACTCGTATATAATTATACCTACCATATCAACACTTCTTGTCATTATTTATCTTCTTAAAACTCTTCTTGATCATTCTCGTCTTTATTTTTCAAGTATCTACAAGTGTTTACTAACTTTGACTTATAGAATTAAATCTAAGTCCCGACATCAACCTGTACATTAGACAAATTGAAAGCAATGAAGTCGAAAGCGTAAGTTCTCAATCATTCAACTTAACGACAATCGGGAAGAGGGGATACGTGAAGAGTATTGCGATATGAATTGGTAAAAAATGGATGTGGCAACTGAAATAACTTGTCTACATATATTTTAAGATCATGCAAAAATATGTTTTACTTTCAAGGAGTTTACTACTACTATTAATTAACTAACTAGAATAATAAATACGAATGTGAATTATTTGATTTGTTTCTTACACTTTCGGGCCTAAGTTCATTGACCAATCATTATGAAATGGTGAACACATATCTCCGTAAATACCTCACAGTTTTTTTTAAATCCCATTTGCCCAAAAAAGTAGTTTTTTATTATCAATCTGTCATTAATTAAGATTATTATTTCCCTATAGATATAGCAATATGAGAACATACATTATTAAGATTGTACTTCATTTCAATTAATGACCAGAAATTTTAAAGGCAAATTAAGAATCTATTTTAAACGTGAGTGCGTTTTAGTTCACGTCGATAGTCAACGAAACTTTAGAAAAGTTAGGATGACAGTGGGTACGACACATACCTGATGAGTCGATAAAGTCGAAAGTTCCTGGAGTAGATCCCGGACGGGCAGGCACAGGCAATCTTTATAAAGACGACTACCAAGGAGGTGGATAGACGATCTTATAAAGTTCGCAGGACGACAGTTTCACGATGCTTTCAACCGGTTTTTGGAAATGATCTCCTCGAAAGCACGTCACGTCCTAGAACTTAAGTTATGATAATTGTGATTATGTTCATTTTGAGAAACCCCTACTTACCGTATCCATTTATTTATTAGCAGTGGTATCAGATCTACAAGGCTATAACAACTTAATAGTGTAAGAGCAAGTGATTGTCGACATAGGACTAATGGCCGTCTTAAACAATTTAGCGCACTTTTTATAGACGCCATGTTTTACCATGATTGCTTATTTTCTATTGTTGTACTGCTATTAAATAATTCGTATTGATTGACTTATTCATTTTAGTAGGCGATTACGTTTGATTCTTAGAACTAAAAGCGAGGGGTTCAAATTAATTATGTGCTATGATTTTATTTCAACATACAAGTATTTATTTGTTTCTTTATTACGAATTTTTATCCACAGACGGTAGGTTTTTCAAATGCTTGGATGGTAATTTTATGTTTCTTACAGAACTCTTTTCTGGGAGTTCTGGACTTCAAAAAGAAATCCTTTTTCTTTTTTATAACGTATTTTGTTTATGATTATAAATCTATATATATACATATATGTTAAGTGTCTTTGTATATGCTTCAAAACTCAAAAAGTTCTTCACCAATTGAGCTCAAATTTTGACTCACTATAAAACCCGCTTCTAGTACGGTTTATATCTATTTTTCGTGTCAGTTTTGTTCCTCTTAGGGTACAGCTAGTAATTAATAAAATATTTATGTCCCTTCTCTAAAACACATACACTTAATATGTCCCTTTCTGTACTAAGCAAAGGTTAACTGGTGGAAAATGCTATTTTACATCACATACATGTAAAATGCTGGTAGCGTGAAATAAATAGAGAATAAACATTAGGTACACTAGGTACTAGGTCCACTAGGTACACTAGGTATAGTTCTGAAATGTTTTTTTAAATTTGTTATAAGTTTACAAAATATTATTGCAATGAAGTTCTTTATTGTGCGGCTCACGGTCTGAGCGGATGGGAACGAAACCGAAAAATGGTTAACAATACTTTTTTCCGACACTTATATAGCAAACGTCTACCAAAAAGTTTACTTCGTTCCGACCCCTCAAGCAGTTTTATTAATTTATAAATAGTAATCCGTAAATCGATATAAAAGAATATGATTTTAATAAAAACTTTTTACACCCAAAGGCCTTTATCCTGTGCCTGACAGACATACATTCAAGCCCTTTGTACTTAAACACTATTGTAATAACCGTGTCTTTGTATAGAATGTGACCAACGTCATTTTAACTGAAACGTGATAAGGTTTGACATTTTTGATGATATCCCGCTATGGACACTGTATTAAACACCATAATTTGGCAAAAGATGTGTCATGAAAAAATATGCAAAAAAATATTTTAAAATATTATTAAGTACAAAACTGCAATTAAGGTTTATATATCAGTTAAGATCATGTATACCTCAAAATTAAGTAAAATTTATAGGTACTTTTACTGTATACTTAGGTATTACTTATTTAACAATAAGCACTATTCAATTAAAAAATAATTCACGTTGTGCAGATAGTTTTAGGTGAGAATACCTACTCTCTTCATAAAACTATTTGCATATTATACCAATTTCAAAGACAATTTCAGATATATATACCTGTAAATCATCATGCACAGTCGCAGAATTGAGTTAAAGGTTTTGAAGCTCAGAGAATGCAAAATCCACACTAAGTCATAATGGTCAATTCCAGCAGACGGATGGTGCTGACGCGACGTAATGGAAAGAGTTGACTCTAAAAAGAATTCGCAACGACCCGTTGTGTGTATTACGTATGATTGAATAATATGCACCTTCGAAGCTACTGGACTCAAAAATAATTTAAAATGTGTATGCTTTGTTTCTGTAAGGTACTTTACTATCTAAAGCTTCGGATTTAGGACTATATCGTGTGCAAGTGAGTACCCCACATACAAATGCAATGGTAGTACTTTCACTTTCAGAACCTGAAACTGGAAGTGACGTAGTTCTAAAATGAGTAAAAATTTTCAAGTTAAACTTTATTAATATTTTTAATTATTACATAGATTACTTTCAAGATAACAGGTGTATCGATTGATTTGGCTGCTAATGTCAAATAACATTCATTTAGTAAATAAATATAGATCGGAATCAAAAAGCTCGACATAAACGCGAATATTAAAAATATTACCTTTGTCATTCTGTAAAATACTGGTGTTGACAAACCGACCACAGCACCAAATTGACGTTGCTTTGTGAATATTATTACCGATAAACCAAAAATAATTAAACCACTAAAAAATATGGCTAACAACGCGATCAATGACAAAAAACTCATTTTAATTTCCCGCTTGTACGTACCGGTATTTATAGCTTTGATTCTTTGTGGATACGATTACAAATTTTACAAAACCAACGTTTATATTACGTTTGCTTTAAGAATTTACTGTGTATTTCTCGTAAGTTTAGTTCTATACGCATCTATAGCTTGTTGTGCGGATGAGCTGTCTCAAAAGTGGGCGTTGATAGAATATTGTTGCTCCGTTATTGCTGCTCTTTATATTAAAAGTAAATCGATACCATTTTTTCAAAGGATGTCAGAAATTGATATATATTTAAGAATCAATATACGGCATTACTATAAAACTCGGTGCAAAATAATAACGTTTGCTCTTATCACTTGGATTGTAAGAATTGCATATTCTATTATGTATTGTTATGCCTATATCTGTTATGAATCTCTAATTTTGTTTGTGATTAGGCAGTATTCGCTGCTCGCTCTCGATTTAAATCGGGTCTGGCGTAGCGTACTGTTCGAGGGTATTCGATTCCGTTTAAAAATGCTTCGAATTAGGTTAGAGGAGAATCCAGAACATAATTATTATTTATACGTAAAAGATTGTAAGACGATTAAAGAGAATAAGCTGAAGTTCTGCCTCTACTTGTACAGAAGTATTGCCGATTTGGTTGACCTGATATCACCGGAATTGCAAGTTTCTGTAAGTTCATTTATTATTAAATTTGTAGGCATGGTCTAGATTATTAATTGCCTTGAAAAAAGACAGGAACACTCTCAATTTGGGTTTTTTTTTGCGTTCTCCAGCACCCCGTCATTTGTGAATCGATTTGAATAAGTATTTTTTTTTATTTGAAAGGGCACACTTCCTGTTTGATCCCATTTCAAATTTTAAGAAAATATAAAGGGTGAAAAGTATACAAAATATAAAGGTTCGTAATTAAAAATTGTTACTAAGCCAAGCAAAATTATATGTTTTGTCACAATTACAATTACAATATAAAATCTTGTTGACTTATTTATTTTATTTACAGCTTTTTCTTAGTATAACTGGCAGTTTACCAAAGTTGGTCTCAAATATTTACCACATGTTTAGAGCAGCGGAGGGTCGTGTAAGTACCTTTGTTTCTCTATTATTATATCTGCCTTTCTTGTATATTATATGTTATATATAAATAATATACGTTACAGGTATTCTACTTAGAAATAATAAAAAGTACCATAGCATAGTATATGGTACAGTAGATATATATTTTTGTACTTAACCATCATGTTAATTTAGAAATATTGAATAAATAATAGTTTTCATAAAAGTATTGATAGTAAAATCTATTTTTTTAATAAACAATTACTTTAAAAATGTAGTATCAAAAACTGCCTCGTCTTTGAAACATTGGGATTACTGGCAACCATTTATGCAACTAAATTAGGAAAAACGCTTTAACTTTTTTTGGGTTGATGTGAAAATAATAATAATAATAATTTCACACATCTCACACGCGGTCGTCTGATCACGAACTAGGCAGAGCCTGTACTATAGTAAGCAGACTGCTGATAAACATACTTATATATTTTTAAATACATACATATTATAAATAAATTACACCCAGACACAGAACAAATAATTATGCTCATCACACAATATTTGTTCTGTCCTAGGTGGAAATCAAACTAGCCACTACATAAGCCAGACTGGCTTGTGTAGTGGTAGTATGAAATGTGTGTTACAGAAAATGTTAACCAGAACCACCGCTGCACCACAAGAACGCTTAGGTGACTCATCCATAGAAAGATAGAGTAAGAGACTAAAATTCTCCCACAACGTTTCTCATTAATTTCAGGAACCTATGGAATCTCTGGGCTACGTAATAATGAATTTAATGCAGATCTCCTTGCTACTGTTCTCGCCGTTCGTCATTGTCGACTTCTATTCAGCAGAAGTAGAAAAAATGCGACTGTTTCTATTCCATAGATTGATAGATCAAGATAGTAAGTAGCAATAATGTAGTTTAACTATAGTTAGTAAATAGTATTAGTAGGGTTACTCACCATTACACAATACTCAACAACTCTTGACGTGTTTACACATTGAAACAAGCTAATTACTAACAAAACGACTGTGTCAAATTGTATAAGAAGGTAAAATTTAGAAACAGGTGATTTCAATTTTCATAATTTTCATGTACCCTTTTACAATTAAGACGAACCTAACGACATCCCCAATAGCGATCAAGCCATTTAGACTACAGAGCGTGCCAAAGAAATATAAATGCGCACACTTGAAAAACGTAACCCTTCTTCTTGTGCAAGCACCAGGCAATTCCCAAATTGTATACTTAATAATCAATCATCTACAGCCTTATATAGTCCACTGCTGGACATAGGCTTCTTCTTAGAAAGGAGGTTTTGGCCTACTATACCACGCTGGACGGGTTGGTGTAGGGTTTGTTTCAAGTTTTCCTTATCTTTGCAGTGCTGTTGTCCTGCGTAGTTTGCTCCCTTAGTCGGCTCTTATGACACCTACGGGATTATTATTAAAATCCGGGTATTCTTAATCCATCACCACACGGACATGCCTTATTCACGGACATACCGTATCCTTAATTAAGCTCTACTAATAATGTTCTCTCCTTAGCAGTCCAGCAGTGGACTATTAAATCTGTAGATGTGATGAATAATTTTCTCCGTTTTTTTAATATTTAATTATTTTCAGATTCAGAAGATAAAGAAGACATAGAAATGTTTCTTCGCTACACAGATATAAGAACATTCAAGTATCGAATATTTCGCGTAATACCTATCAACATGTTTTTGCCTCTAGAGATGATCAACATATGTATTAATTATGTGATTGTATTGATTAACTTTACTCACTTGTATTGATTTTGTTTTATTATGAAACATTCATCGTAATTCCTATCCCTTAATCACATATTAAAGCCTAATCAGGTAATAAAAAGCCTAGTTCAGGGAAGCCAGTGAAGCGTTTTTAATTGTAGTTTTGAGTATAATCAGACTTTCTTTCTGAGAAATACATAAATACATTGAAAACCACTTTTCCCTCAAGAAAATAAATAGTTGTTTGGCATTTAACAGATAGAAATAGACCTTGCTTAAACTTTGACAGCGATCATGATGATACGTTAGTTAAAATCTTAAGTTATTCAGGCCATTAAAACAAATTGGTGGCATTTGTTCATCGCAACTTTATCTCAGGTTTAATTTCCCTGATAAAGCTATTAAAAGGATTGCAAATTTCTTTGTTTGTTACGTTTTCACGCGTAAACTACTCAATAGGTCATTTTGAAGTTCTGCGTTTAGGTTCTCAGGTGCATCGAAAGGGACAGAGCTATCTGTTATCTGCAAAAAAAAAAACACAAATAGTATTTGATTAAAGCTATATTGTTAGGATTGGTTGTTATTTATAACAAAGAGTACAGTCTAAAAACATTTGATTTTAAATACTATTTTTATCACAACAATAACCAATGGTGAGGTGAACAATGAACTGTAAATGTTAAATTTTACTTCAGATAGTGATTAACAATAGAATTTAGTATTTATAACATTTCTACATAGACAAATCGTTGCACTCCTTACCCTTAGCCTAAAGTATACCTAATTTTATACTTCTCCGTTAAACGGTATAGTTTTTTCTTTAAATTCTCAGAAATAATACAAAGACTTCATTCGGGAGCTATTCAAAACAACGAATTGTAAAACATCAAATAAGAAAATTTGCTTACAAGTTTGTAAACTTTTTGAACCTTTGAAGTAAATATTTGATGGATCGGAAGCACATCGGTTTAACGATTTATGAATACTTAACTTACTCTCCATTGAATCTGATAAAGTTTTAAATCATTGTAAAACGTTTGTTTCTTTTGATAAACTTAATGGTGGGCAAAAATAGAAGACTGGTTGAAATTATTTTTCTGTAGGTTTGAACAACAGGTTTTTCATATAATTATGAAAATAGAGGAGACTGATAACTATGGACCACGTAATCGTAATAAAGGACAAAAACTACACATAATTATTTATTTTAATTAATCCAGTTTTATAGAAAATATATAGCTCAATGCACCTTTAAAATATCAGTGGAAACGGAATCATAAAACCTTATTTTCTATAACCGAATCCCCATCGAAACTTAGTAAGCCCTGATTATATATTTATCGTTTAAGATTAATTTATATATACTTGAATTAGCGTGATCGTTTGGTACTGCATACCTTTGAATTATTGGGTGGTTCGACCAGGTTGCAGTGGCTGTGGCTGGTTCTGTAATGGACGCTATACGTCGCCGATTCCCTGAAGTAGAAATTTCTTTATCTACATTTTTATGTTTTAGTTACAAAATGTATACTCGGAAATATTTCAAACAACACGAAATCAAGCCACATCGATATGCTTTAATCGAGTACAAAATAAAGCTGAATCACGATACTTAGTACGAGTACGGTGGTCGATTATTTACCGTCTAGACTGATAGTTTCTGATGCTATTAATCATGGCTTTTTGTTACATCTCCTGAACTGTACAGCACTTACCATAATTACAGTATTCGCTTGCAAATTACCCACAGATAGTGGATGTTTAACAAGAACATGTTTAATATAGAGATACAAAAAGTCTGTTCAGTTTCATCATAACATTCTTTTGAAGTGTATAATATATTACATATTATAAAATTACTACAATATTTGACTCAACAAAGACAAAAACAATTTAAAGCCTTTGTGTTTTGAACTCATACTGTACACATGGCCAATAAAATACCTTTCAGGTTTACATGGTTGTCTTATTCCGGTAAGTATTTTTAATAACTCGTTTCTTTACTCATACATTTGCAAAATATTATTGTTTCAAGACCATTCGGATGATTAGTTTCAATTTATCAGGTAAAACTGATACTGGTATTACTAATAAGTTGTATTGTTTGCCGAATGTTAATATCGTTTTACGTTATACAGTTATACGAGTAGTATTCCTCCACAACGGGCAAACCATGCTACATTTGCCTTCTTGCTCACTGTGCCCGTCCAGCTGCACTGTAGAGAAGCTTTGGAGAGCAACGGACATTGCTATGGCTGTGGTGGATTTTTGTGATGGGTGTTCACCCGTTGATATGACGAAGAACAATACAGTTTGGAATTTAGTACATCGTAGTACTCGTACATATTTAAAACCTGTACATAATACATAGAACTAACTCAAACAAGACATAGCAACTCTTTTCAGCAAGACATAGCAATCTTTTGTATCATAATTTTTTTCCTGTGTTTTTCCAAATTTAATTTTAGGTCGATGCAAGGAGTAACATTATAAAGGGTTGTGGCTTGTTCCTTTTATAGCCGGACACCAGCCTTACTTGAAAATGTGATCGTCTTCAGGGGGGACAAAATGCAAATTAGGTTAAGGAAAACGAACATGGTGAGGAAGCTCGGGTATGGAATACCACAAAGATTGAATGGAGAAACCCTTCAGGGATGTAGGAGTGAATATAAGTGTTTAGTATGGCAATTGACATATAAGCTTTACATATATATATTTCAAACCAAAAACCTGCCTGGTCGAAAATACTTCCAGCGCTAAGGCTTACCTTTACGCTGTTTTTGTATTCTTATATTTAATTTAAATATAAATACATTCATTTTATATACATATAATAATATACATACATTTGTCAGATTATGCGTATACAGAGTTGTTACCTTTGGATACTAGCCATGCCATATTCAGCCTACTAGACTAATCTACTAGATTGAATTTAAAAACAATAATCTAGACACAACATTTTATGCATTATTGCTTTGTCACAATTTCTTATCGTCACAAAAAAAAATATATTTTATACTTCATAAATACATCGCAACTTAATAGATAAGAGAAGTATGTAAGTGCCAATTTACTGTGTTTGAGTTTATTTTTAATTTAAACATAACATGTGAATTTAACGATGTTATTATTCCCCCTCTGCAAAGTAAAACAAAATAACGAGGAAAATTGCACAAAATCAACACTTATTATCTAGTGTTTAATGTACTAAGAATAAATTCTTCAGTTCGTAAAAAATGGAGGTGGCATCATATATTTTTCATCTACAGTCTTAAGGCTTAGGCCCTTAGCCACTGACTGGACATAGGCCTATCCTTAGAAAGGTGGTTTTGCTCTACTACACCACCTGGCCAGACAAGTTGGTATAAGGATTGTTTCTAGTTTTCCTTTTCTTTGCAGTGCTGTTGCCTTAAGTAGTTTGCTCCCTCCCACGGGATGAATAGATGACACTTCGTATTCTTAATCCATTACCATACGGATATTTTTGTTAGTAATTTATTCAAATCGAATAAGTGCATTTTATGTCATAAACATTTTCATCTTTCTGTCCGACTCCTAATTCTATTTGGGGTCGCGGGGGTTTGACGCTACTGTTAAATCCCTGATCTACGGGTAAATAATTAAAAGGCAATGGACTGTAAATTTGTACATATATTAATAAAAACAAGTAAAGTGTGGTGCGCGTGCGATGCTTGCGGACTTCAGAGGTAATGCCCTCGGGAACAGCTGACGGTTGGCACCTCCGCGCCGCGCCCCGCGGCCCCCCCGTAGTTGCCTTGCACAGCTGCCTTCTGCGAAGACAGCCGAGAGTAGCCGAAACTCGCGGACGGCGCACGAACATCCTCCCGGGCGTTGAAGCATTCAAACTAAACAGGCAGAGGACAAATATTATTGAAGGCTCGTAATAATATGCCTTTCTTGGTCTTGAGTTGAACCACGCGAGAAGCTCCGTCGCTGCCAGGAAACACCTTGATGACCCGTCCCAAAGGCCACACTAACGGTGGTTGTCCTCTCTCCTTTATTAACACCAGGGTTCCCACGGTCAGTTGCCCTGAAGAAGTTGTCCACTTTGTTTTTTGCTGAAGCAAGGATACATATTCCATTTGAAACCGTTTCCAAAAATGTTGTTTGATATGTTCCAATTTTTGGAATCGCTCCAGCCGCCCAATGTTGATATCAGTTACCTGTGGATGGGGCACAGATGTAAGTGATCGTCCAATAAGGAAATGAGAAGGAGTAAGGGCACTAAAATCTAAGGGATCGGAGGAAAGAGGTGTCAATGGACGAGAATTTAAAACAGCCTCTATTTGATTCAAACAAGTGACCAGCTCCTCGTATGTAAAGTGAGATAACTGTAAGAGCCTCTTCAAATGGTGTTTAGCCGAACGCACGGCAGCCTCGGCAATGCCGTTAAAATGCGGTGTGTTCGGCGGAACAAATTTAAATTCAATGCCTTGCTTAGCAACTTCCGAGTCTAAGTCAGAGTCTTGCAGGAATTCATTCAATTCGTTGCACGTACCAACAAAATTTGTACCGTTATCGGATAAGATGCTCTCGGGTTTGCCGCGCCGAGAAATGAAGCGTTTTAATGCAGCCATATAACCTTCCTTACTCAGGTCTGTAACGAGCTCTATGTGTACAGCTTTAACTGCTAGGCAAACAAAAATGCACAAATAAGACTTGGTAAGCCTACATCCCCGACCCTTGCGATCAGCGATCAGTACTGGCCCGGCATAGTCAACACTGCATCTAAAAAAGGGGAATTCTAACTCGGTTCTCGAACTAGGTAACTGGCCCATAATCGGTTGAACAGCTTGACATCTGTATTTAAAACATTTTATACATTTGTTTACTGTAAATTTAGAAAGATTTCTGCCCCCAAGGGGCCAAAACATTTGACGTATATTGGCTAATAATAGCTGAGGACCAGCGTGCAATAGATCGCTATGGTATTTTTCGAAAAGAAGCTTTGTAACGTGATGTTTACCACAAAGTAAAATAGGGTGTTTGACATTGTAGTCTCTAACGAGACCATCCGTACC